GAATTATATCGCGCGTTAATTGTCCCAAATTGGTCAAAATGGCCAAAATAGCAATCTTTAAACCCTCATAACTTCACAAAAAATGATCACAGGTGAAATATCTTTTCAAATTTAAGCTCAAGACAACAATACCTTTTGAATGATATAAAAAAAATTCCGTCAAAAATGGCTAGTTAAAAAGTCGAAATTTGTCTGAAGAAAAAAAAACCCACCCTTAGCACAAATATTCCGTTACTTTCGTATCGAAAGTCGGAACAATAACATTGCTACTTTGGCAACTTTTAAGCCCACTGAAGAAATAATAATTCACGCGATAATTTTTCCTACATCTGAATTGCGACAGTTGATCGTATCACTGAAAAGTACACATTTTGTTAAAATTTATAATGAGGCCGGCGAAATTTATCTGAACAAAAATTAACCCAAAAAAATATACACTCTTTACTTTCTTTGAATATCGGAATAGCAACACACAATCAAACAGATTGAAAAACAATTACTTTCAGGTCAACACACTTACTTTTTTTCTCATAAAAACTGAGACTGCGCGGGAGTTCGAAGTTTTTGCAAAAAGTTCTTTTTGACAAGGTTGATAGTGTTGAGGAACAAGAAATAAAAAGATGGGGCGGATCAAAGTCACATCCTCTCTCCTGGAAAGATTTTTAGGGGGATGGGGGTTAACAAAAGTTGTTGCCAGTAAATTTGACTGAGCCATTTTATTTCAAATTAAACATTGGGCATGAAAGTCCTAAATAGATCTAGTCAGACGGGAGGATGCTAACTTGACCAGATGAAACCCCAACTTTTAGAAAAACTCCAGCGAGGCAGTACTTGACTAGGTTTTAACGGGTACTTGTTTAAAAACTTTTGCATAATTCTATGCTTTGTGAACCCAAATTTCAAAAAAAAAACTCAACCAGTTTTTAACTATTTAAAAGGCGTTAAATGGTTGGGAATTTTTGCGTATTTTTCCCTTCGCCTTCGATGAGAGCCATATGTAAGGACATATAGAAACATATGTACAACTTTTTTCACGAAAACTTCTCGGGCCTGAATTTTTATTCTGAAAGTGTTTTCTCAGAAAACTTTCGAAAAAGGGTCTTTTGGGCTGCAAAAAGCAGCAAACGTATGGATTCTTAAAGAATTTATATCTTGCGAATAAGCAATCCAGTTTATAAATGTATAAAGTAGATAAAAAGAAGACAAAAGCGAAGTGACTATATCGTTAATTTTAAACATTTTTAAGTGCAACCTCAGTCATTAAAAAATTGAACTGTTTTTGCTATCATTTGTATTTAAGAAATTCAGCAGATTTTGTTTGCAAAACGTTGAAATATATAACAAAAAACCACAATAACAGAAAACAGCCGCAACAACAATGCGCTCTCAAGTTCAACATGATTACTCTTTTCGTTCTTAAGGATAAGTAGTAAATTAATAAAACAACACTATGAAAAAAAATTCATATGTTCTTTTAATTATTTTATTTCCCACACGCTATCTAAAAAGGCATTGTTTTAATATAACCAAATTTCCTGCTTCAGCTCAATTTGAACTGATTTTATTTGGCGCTTGCTTTATTTAAAAAAACCTTCGAGCAAAAAAATCAGTTATTTTCTTCCAAAATGAAAAAAAAGGAAGTTGAAAAACATCGAGATACAAAATATTGAAAAATCTAAAAATCGGGTTATTTTAAAATATAGAACTTTTTAATCTAACATAATTTATTTTCTCCGTTCTCAGAATTTTGTTGACACAAACATTAAAACAAGCAGTATTGACAGCATTTTTATCACACTAGTCGATCGAGTGTTGTCATCTTGTAAAAAGTTCGTACAGAGCTAAACCTTGCAAGATAACCAACATGCAAGAGTTTCGTTACTAAGAAAATTTCAAGTTCATGTTTTAAATGGAAACTAGCAGCAAAAAAAAAACAAAGTTAGCTTGAAAGTTTCAGGCTTCTTGAAATTATTAACTAGTTATTTTTAACTATATTGTAGTTCATAAACGCTTTTCCGTACCACTTTAGTCTATAAAATTTTAAGAGAGCTTTTGCTATCAGTTTTTTCAAGGAATTAAGAAGATACATTTTGAAAAAATTCTTGAGAAGTTCAGAAAAACAATATCAATTTTCCCATTAGTTTTTCCAGGACACCATTGGTTGCTGCTTAGAAACCTCATGAGTAGCGTAGCTTATTTCTATTACATGGAAATTATTGCAATTTTTTGCAGTTATATGACTGCTATTTCTCAATTTTTAACAATTTGCAATGGTTTTGTTTCTTCGTTTTGATTTCTAACTAAGGTGCTTGTTTCAAAACACGCTAGCACTGGGTAGTAAAAATATTTTTGAAATTTAATAATTTAATATAAAAAACTACTTTATAAGATTATATTACAGTCTTAAGATAAAGCTGACTGAAAAGTTAGATGAAAAAATCACGCAATTTTTTGCAAATTGTGCAAACAAGTCTTTATTTCCGCTGAATGCAAGAAAACAAACCTGAATAAATGAGTAAACACCCAAAATTTTCTGCAAAGAAAAAATTTGCAAAAGCTTTGTAACATTTTAAAAAGCGTTTTCAAAAGTATGTTTAGCATTTTCTCAGAGCAGTATGACTACCCGGGAGGATAAAGTGGTTTTATGTTCAGACCATGTGGAACAAACTTTAGCATGCTCAGACCGCTGGGACCACAATATGGTATGTTTAGACCATGTGGAACAAAAATGGCTTGGTTCAAATCGTGTGCTCTAAAGGAATCCGGTTTCAGACCGTGTGGACCTAAAGAATCCGGACTCAGACAGTGTAGATCCAAGAAACCCGGATTCCGACCATGTGGACCGAAGGAATCCAACTTCAGACCGTGTGGACCTAAAGAATCCGGACTCAGACAGTGTGGATCCAAGAAACCCGGATTCCGACTACGTGGACCGAAGGAATCTAACTTCAGACCGTGTGGACCAAAGGAATCCGGGTTCAGACTGTTTGGACTCGTCTCATCCTTTGGTACGCCAAACAGCAAAAAAAATGGCATTATGAAAATTTACAACTGTTTTAACTAACACCAACTGTTCAACTTTATGTTTCGATCTTGTTTTCGACTATATGGTTTGATTTTGTGCTCGTTTTTATATTTCGACTTTATGTTCCCCTTTATGTTTCGAAATTGCGTTTGACTTTGCGTTTCGACTTTGTGTTTGACTTTATGTATCGAGCGACTAAATTTTATGTTTCGACTTTGAGTTCGACTATAGGGCCTTCTCGACTATGGATTTTTGGTAAAACTCTGACATGTATTCGACCCGCATCGGTGGTCGAAACATAAATAGCAAACCTGACATGTGTTGGAACCGCCTGAGTGTTCATACGTATTTGACCCGTCTCGGTCAAAAAAATAATTGCAATGTTCACATTTTCAGACATATGTTCAGACTTTGCAGGCTTATGTTCAGACTTTGCAGACTTATGTTCAGACTTTGCAAACTTATGTTCAGACTTTGCAGATTTATGTTCAGGCTTTGCAGACTTATCTTCAGACTTTGCAGACTTATGGTCAGACTCTGCAAACTTATTTTTAGACTTTGCAGACTTTGACCTGCCTAGCGACTATGATTTTTTGGTCCCCACGCGCTGATCGATTCAGCCTTTTTAAGTCTGAACATAAAACCACGACCTCCGACCTCGACCCGGGTAGCAACACCGCTTGCAAATTCTTACAAAATACCCTCATCCTTATCAAGCGTTAATAATCGATGGTATTATAATTTTAGTTTCAGTCTTAATAAAACTGAGAAAAAAAATCAATTTTAATGAAATAAATCTCATATTTTGAAATCAGAATATAAACAACTGAAAAAAAAGTTAGTCGATGTAATCGCTTTTCAATACATATTTTTTTTGAAAAACTTATAATCAATTATAATTGATTATGAACGGTTATTTTGTATCCCTTTTTCTAAATCATGAAGTTTGCTCAACGAATCTATTATAATCTATTTTATTGCCTTTTGTTTGCCCATTTTGTTTTCGACCTTCTATCTGAATTGCTTATATGGCTCTTTTCCAGTCACCCCTTTGATTTTTTCTGAACTTCAATATATGGAAATCAAATTAAATTGACTTTTCTCAATTTAAACTGCCTTAAAACCTGTCAACGTGAACAAGTGGTAAAAGAGGCGCTTATATTTTATGCCTTTTGCAGACGTTGGCTTATGTGAAAAATGAGAAAACTGTTTTAGCAGTGTTCAAATCAAATCAAATTTGTGACCTTCTTTCAAATTTGTGACCTTGCTTCTTCTCGATTAGTGTGGTTTCATGATGCACAATTTAAAATTTTTTAACCACCAAATTATCAGCATTTTGCTTCAGCTTCTTGATTTATTTGGAAGAATTGTTTTTCACCTACCGCGAGAACCTTTCAAATAATATGAAGGGATCTCCGTGAAACTTTGGTTACGTGGTAAGACTTTGTGTTCAGTTGAGCCAAAGTGTGACAAAACATCTCATTCTACAGATTTTGTTTTCGACAGAATAGGTAAAGCATAATCCCTTGTAATTGATTTTTCTTGCGTGATAACATTTTGACAGAAAACGGTTTCAAGAGATTTTCGGAAAAGTTATTATCACTTATAATTGATTGTACTTTATCATAATGTCGCTAAAAATGTTATCATCATATTAGATTATAAACTGTTTAAACATCTAAATTTGGCGCTGATATTTAATTATAATTTTGATAAAAATAAAATAACAATTGAAATCTAATCGGTTAATTTCTTTTTTTACTGAGTGCCGGTAGCCATATCCTTGACCGACTATGACCGACAGTCCTACATCATTTTAAGGATCCTAGAACTAAACAATCTAATGCCTTGATACTGCAGTTTGTGATTAAGTAAAAACTTATTTTCGGTTACTTCTTACTAGCTTAGTTAGAACATCAAAAAATTCAATGGCATTTTCGGTAAACAAATCTCAATGAACAAAATTTTTTCTTTTTCACAGTTCTTCAACAAGTTCACAGCCCTCGGGTATTTTGAAAAAGTCCGGATCTTCCTCGACTTCTTTGGGCAGCCCCCATAGGAAATTATCCATCTTGATGTAAAACTTGGTTGTCGGAATCACCGGTAGTTCCAGGTACACTGGGAACCCTGGCGGAAACGGAACTGCCCGAGTGAAATATTCGGCCATGTCTTTGAGCAGTTTGCGCATTTCCTCCGAGTCCACTTTGAGGAAGTTGACGAGACTCTCGGCTGACACTGGGAAGGTATCAGTCATAGCTAAAGATCCTTTCAGTTGTTTCTCCCATGTTATGACCTGATGGAGGTCAAATCGAGTTCAAGGTCAATAAGACACCAAAATTTGAACCAACAATGACCGTTAACCGAAAACTGTTCATTTTTATAGTTGAAACGAATAAATTTAATTCCAAAATTCAACTTTGGGCGCTCATAATTTTAACCCTAGTCTTTAAAAACGTCAAAAAACGTAGATTTGATAATCTCCCCAACCTGTCGATGTTATACAGTATAGCTTCTGGTCAGATCGTTAGTTAAATGTTAGTTAAACAAAAACATGCTCTAATTTTTTGCTTTTTCAAAATTCAAGATTAACAAAATACTAACTTTTTTACTGGCTTGAATACTTTCTAAATATCTGGCGGTCGGATGTTAAAACAGTTCATATAAAAAAGATAAAAAATGTCTAATATAATAGCTTGAACTTGTGTGACCTTCATAGTTCGTCCGACATAGCACTTTCTGGCCATGTACTGTTCGAAAGAACCAGTCGCCTCTTTGGGGGGTTGCAGATTCTTCTCAGCCGACGTGAATCCTAATTTGAACCAGTTAATTAGTTATTTTCTTCGGCTCTTTTACTTTTATAAGTATATTTTAAAAAATCACAAAACAAACATTTGATATTTTCAATTAGATTTTTTTTTCGGATAGATATTTGAGCGCTATTATATCAGCATTTTTGGTACCTCATGGATGTCACCCCTCCTAAATGCTACTGCTTCTAGTGTTATACTGTCACTTATATTTTGCATCATTAAGTTTCACTCGCCTCAAAATCCAACAAAACTTTTCATCTTTTGTTAACGATTTCAACTTTTTTTCTTGTTTCGAATTCAATTAATTCACTGGCCTGAGCTCTTTTTCGATTTGTCCTTGAGTTCTTTGACCAACTCAGGGTCCAAGTGTTCATGTCTCTTGTGTACTGTCAACTTCACCCCTGCCCATTTGTACATTAAAGTATCGTACTGGCCTATCTGGAAAAACATACAATCATAATAATATTGATAGTATATGAATTAAAACCGCAAGGGCCATCTAATGTATTGATTAACACAGTAGAGGATTTAGGGGGAGCCTCTTCCCATCCCTCAGGGATTTGACTCCCTGACCACCCAAAGGGTCCATCCGTTGGCACTCCTATGCTTTTTGGCAGACCGGCCGTAAAATTGTTCTAAAGGTGCATAGACGCCCATGTAAACTAATTTTGAGGGGAGAACGTGCGCCGAAAAAACGCGCGATTTTTAGTAGGTTTCAGAAAGTGGCGCAATTGTAAGCAGTGCTAGCCAAAAATCAAGCAGTGACCCTTTAATGGCCTTCAATGTCTCATTCCACTCACTCACTTTTAAGAAAGAGTGCACTTTTAACAAGCCAATTGTTTTTCAGTGTAGAAAAATTTTGGTTTGAAATTTTTAATTTTTTAAACTAATTTCGAGCGAATAAAGCGAGCAAGCAGGCGTATAATTCGTTTTTTAAAAGAAAAAGGATAAGGCAATTCAACCCATGAAAAATTAAATTTGTTCTAAATAAAAATATTTTTGAAGTTTTTCAGCGCCATTTTGAGATTCAAAAAATTCAAAAAAAAATCTGTCAAAACTTTTTAAAAAATTTATTAATATTTTTTTCTTGTCAGTTTTTGACTAAACCTGTTGTTCATCTTGCCAATTCTACAAGGAATGTCGAATATGTTTAAATTTTAGGCTTTCCTTCAATCTTCTATCAAAACCCGCACAAAAAAGTCGACATTCAATTGAAAAAAAATGAATAGTTTTTTTTTTCAAGAATATGGTCAGAACAATCTGTGGTTTTTGGACAGCAACCGGCTATTCTTGTTTTAAAAAGATATTTTCTCATACATTTTTCCACGCACTAATATATGCCTTAGTAAAACATTGGGACCTGAATTAGCCCATTAACCTATTTCTAATGTCTCCGCTCGCATACATTGTCTCGCGTACTTAGCTTTTAAAAACAATAAGGAAAAAACTTGAAAGCTTACGCCAAAATTTTTTATAATTTTATTGCAGGTTTGCACCCTAACGCTCTTTCTTGATTCTTACATATATTTTTGCTTCAACAAACGTGCAACAATACTCACAGAGAGTTTTTCTTGGCCTTTTTAAGTCCATAGTGTATTCAATACCAAATATACAGTTTTAAACTATGCAAGGAAGAATCTCACAGTCTGCTCTTCAGACTGAACATGAACACTCAACCTCAGCTTTAATTTTTCTATGAAAATTACGAGTAAAAAAATTCAACAATTATTTTTTCCTCAAGTTCAAAGCGGCTTCAGTGTCAAGAATGGGATTAGCACGGCTTATTCGTGGACACTCCTCGTGCCTCTTTCCTTTGATTAAACGTGTAATCCCATATGTGAGGGGGTAAATTTTAATAAAAATGCAAGTATCACAGAATAGCCAAAACATCAAAATTGAACTTTGAAAAAAATAACAAAACTGATCGTATCAGGGCGAAGCCCTAGATGTTCCGACTGCCTTTTAAGGTATATTGAGTAGTAATAACACAAAAAATCATCCTCCCACACGCCATATAAAGTACAAAGTGATAGATTTCGTTCCTAGTAACAAACTTATTATGGCAAAAAGCTTTTTTCAATCGATTTTTAGGAGGGGTTAAATCTCCGCTGACGTGTTAATAGCGCGAAATATGTAGCGCGTTAATTGTCCCGAATTGGTCAAAATGGCAATCTTCAAACCACCTTAACTATACAAAAAATGATCACAGGTAAAAATATCTTTTCAAATTTGAGCTCAGGACAACAATAGCTTTCGAATGTTATAAAAAAATTCCGTCAGAAATTGCTAGTTAAAAAGTCGCAATTTGTCTGAAGAAAAAAAAACCACTCGAGCACAAATAGTCCGTTACTTTCGTTACGAAAGTCGGAACAATAACAGTTTTCCAACCAAAATATTATGAAGCGTTTTATTAAGGGGAAACTCGCCAACTGGTTATTTCAATTGAAGAGTTTGAAAAACTTCGATTGGGGTAGTTTCTGGGGTAGTTTCTGAGATGAGTGAAAACTTCAAAAAATGAGGAATTATACCAAGACCACAGCGGCTTAGTTACAAAAATTTGAGAGCAGCGGTTTATTCAAGGAAGGTCCATATAACCCGTTTTTCGGTTGGACATTCAACCCCAAAATTTGAAGAGAAATTTTCGAAAGCCAAACATTCGATATTTTTCAAGTCCATAACGTTTTTCAACAACTAGTAGGTCCAGAAAAATTGCCTGGGAGGTTTCCAGAAACTTGAGTCAACCGTTGTTTTTAGATCGGGTACAAGCAAACTATTAAAAATTGTACTTTCTTTCGCCCACAACGGTCCACAATGAAGCCACTGGTGAAAAAATGCTTACACTCTGTCCCTTTTATTAAACCCTTGAAATTGAAATCGGCAGGAAGTTTTTGAAAAGTTTGAATCTTGTCTATAAAACCCTCGGTTCCCCCATGCTTGTCTTCGAGGCTCAAAACAATAAACTATCACAAACTACTATAGGCTTTAAATAAATCAATACCAAGTGTGACACTTCACTCTTCAATTTCATTCGCCTAAAAAGCAATCATATCAAACCGGTTTTCTAGCTATTGAGAAACTTTAGTGGACATTATGATGCATCAAAGGAACACGACGGAAAGGGATTTAATTTTGTTTATACCTCCACCTCAAATCAACCTTTAGTTTTTGTATTTGATTTTGCGAGGTGAAAAAAATGGAAAGCAAATTTTACACAGTTTACCTGTTCGAACTTTAGTTTTCCCCTCTTTGTCTCAGCTGCGAATTTAACCTCCTTGGAACACAAACTAATATTCTCAACTGGTTTGCTCAACAAGTCAGTAATCTTCTCCTCCAGCATTTCGTCAGTTGGCTCTTTGTCGAAGTGTTCTTTCTTGTACAGATTGCGAACTCGGTCGATCACTAATATGCAGTTTTTGCCATACTTTTCCGTGTTGTAGAGAATCGTTGTGTGGCCTGTAGTTTTGTATACGGAGTGATGAGATACATCTTTTAGATTATAAACTCGAATAGATTCTTGTGGGAGTTAGATTATAAAATGGTGAATCTTTTAGATTATAAACTCGAAATGTTAGGTTATAAAATGGTAGATTTCATATGGTAAATTATAGAATGGTAAAAAATGTTTTAATTGGTAATCCAAGGGAGTCGATGAACAACAAAAGGAGTTTTTCTCCTTGCTTGCTATTTTCTCTCACCTCTTTCCCTCAAATAAAAATCTACAAGAAGAATTCTGTAGCTTTGCCTGATTGTAACGGAGTCTTACATGTGAACTGATTACTATATTCTAAGCATAAGTGGTCCTCATTCATAGCATTGTAAAATCACTGATTACAGCATAAATTTAATTCTCTAAAAAAAGGATGGAAAAGAGTTGAGCGTTTCTCAGTCGGTGCTGATTCATTAGATATAAATTAGATGTCCTTTTCTTTTGTTTATGTTTTGTTCCGACTTTCGTGACGGAATATGTGAGCACGAGTGCTTTTTTTCTCGGCAAACTTCGACTTTTAACTATCTATTTTTTGACCCGGGATTTTTTAATATCATCTGAAAGCTATAATGAAAGTAACAATTCTTTCAGAAAAAGAACTTAACAGCTTGTTACTCTTTAGTGTTTGTGTTCGTTACGAAGTTTTCTATAGATTTTTAAATTACTGTAGAAAAGAAAACGCATCGCTCCCTTTTAGTTTCACAATTTTTTGGCCCAAGCTCAACCCAGTATCCAGTCGAATAGAAGACCCTTTCTTGAACACAGTGACTGTGTCGTTCGGCAGAAACCGAGACACCAGTGGAATCCACGACTTGACTCGCCACTTGATCTGAAACAACGATGCGATATTTTATGGATCTCACCGACGAAAAAGAGTCAAATTTGGTTAAAAAACTGGTAAGCTAACCAATTTTAACACTCAAAATAATTTTTTTTAAAAATCTTCGGTTCCGGATAACTGTTACTTTTTAGATTTTAGCATGGCCTGCAATTAAAACACTATCTTGAACTGTGATACCTGGAAGTAAGCGTCGTTAGTTCCGTCCAGAACCTTCTCTGCAAACGGACACTTGTCATCGGCAACTTGCGAAGAGTGTTTGGTTCGAAGCTTCAGTACAGCTTTGATGAATTCCCTGTGATAAATACACGGTTCCTCTTTTTTGTTAAACCATATATAAAAATATACCGCTGATGGTCATTTTTGATAATATAGCCTTGGTGGCTATAAAAAAAAGAAAAAACAAACTATCATTATTTTGGTACCAAACTTCCCAAGGTTATGGTTTTGTGATGAGACTATTGCGACTGAACTTTTTCAGACCGTCTCGACCTGCTACAATCAGTCATTTCAGACTTTTCAGAGACCGATAGATTTGTCTGCTGATGGCTTGACTTATTTTTAGAATCCAAGATGTTTTTTTTTGTAAACTAAACTACGTTTCTTAAATAAAGTACATGCCAAAAAGTTCATATTTTGCTACATTTTTTGCTAATAGTTTGATAGGCTCCCACCCTTCCTCCAAACATAAGCATCATTTTTGTAGTGGAGTTAACAGTTTTGAAAGGTAATGCAGAAAGACCACACCTGACCTGATCTTTTCTGTGGAAATTAGAATAGTCTAATTAGTCAGCATGCCAATTTCATAGCAATCGAACCATGTCAATAAGTCTTAGTTTAGGTGGGGTTTATCCGTTCTTTGTTAGTTTTCTGTTCATCTGTTCGTAAGTACCTGTTGCCCAGCACTACAGCCTCATCCAACACTGTCCACCTCAAAGGGGGAGGGGCCTTGGTGGATATGTGGAAGAACTGGGGGTCGGCCTTGTCCAGAAACAACTTCAAGTACTCCAGTCTGCCCATGCGGAACGCCAGATGCAGTGGGGAGAGGCCATGCACATCGTGGATCTTGAGGCTGTTGTTTAACTTGTCCCTGCAACTAACAAAATTATTTAACTAGGGGCCTCTAACTAAGTAAAACTAGGCCTCTAACTCCTAGCTGCAGCTGGAGGTACCTGTTTGACATGTTATTAACTTGTTGTACTGATTCGGGATGAAATGAATAATTTCAAATATTCAATAATATGGCTTCACAACGTTTCAAGTTTCTGACAATTTTTGAAGCGTAGCCGCTTATACAGGGAGCTTCCCACAACCTGGTGCCTCGATTAAACCCTTGATATCAGTTTCGGCATTATAGTATTATATTATCAGAATCAGAATCATTTTTTTCTGAATTATAGAGCCGAGGTTAGGGTTAAAGCTGGCAGAAACGCAATGAAATTGAAGCGGAATGTCTCAGTAAAAATATAATATATAGAGCGTCTGACTATTTTTGTGCAAAAAAGTTTATTCGAGCTGAGTTGTTAAAATTTGGGAACAACGGATTCGCTGAATCACTCGCTTTTAATTGGGCGAAAAAAATCAGTCGTTTTTCTCAAAGCTGACCAAAACTATTTGAAGCTAATTAAAAAATACCAAATCACGGAAAGATTGACTGGAAGGGCTCTTTTATGATGCATCACAAGACGCAATACCTGAAATTGATTTTCGAGGAAGTAGAAGAAAAAAACCACAAATGAAAAGCTCCTCTCCATTTATTGTAATCAAGATAAGGAGCTGTTTAGTTGTAGAATAAGTATCAATTGTTTTCTCAATAAAGTTTAGTCACGTGGAGGTCTCACCTGTCGTTCGTCCATACATTTCTCAGTTTTTCCATGTTGTTGTCGAACACGTCTCTGTTCAGTTCGTATGGGTCTGCATTCTCCAGCTCTTGGGGGGAGTTGTCGTTGGTAAGGTTGGTCCACCCTGTCTTAGCCATTGTAGTCATAGACTTCCACAGGGTTGGCGTCTTCCTGGTAAAAACAGTCTTAATGATTGAAAAAGTATAATTTGCTGAGATTTTCTATCTAGCTCGCAAAACAAACTATTTTTGGCGACTGACATCACCGGACCGAGACAGTGATTTTAGGTTGAAAAACTGGCAATCAAACGTAGATAATTCCAGTTAATTTGACCAGAAATATTCCAATTTGAACCGCTGGGCGCTCGACTGATGTTTGAGGTGTTCGACTTATGTTTAAAACGACTCGATCCAAAACTTTTAATGTTTCGACTGTCTAGAATGGAGAAAAATGAGACCAATTGTGTTTCACTCGAACTTGCTATGTTAAAATGGACTCGACCAAAAAAAACGTGTTTGCCTGTGTTCAACACAAGCTAACTGTGTGCAACTCAAGCTACCAACTTTCGAAACTAGTTATACTTTGACGGTATCACCTGGAGAAATTGGTGTTCGTCTGTGCCCAACTCAAGCTTTGTCCGTTTCAACTGACTCAACCCAAATTATTCATGCATTCATGCATTCAATCGACCCAAATTGACCAAACCTGTGTGGCAAATCTTCGGAAACCCAACAATAGGGTTAATACTACAAAAACCATCAAATAATGTCGATCGGCAACATTCCTTTTATAAAATTACGTTCATAAATAAGTGTCGAAACCATAAAAAACTCATTATCTCACTTCAATAGCAATCATTTAACACCAGTGCAGTAAAAATGCAGCCAAAAATCAATCCATGAGAATAATTTAAAGTCGCTTGAGCTTAACCAAGTTCAGGCAATAAAACAGGACCAGACAAATTTATTGTAAGCGATAGTTACTCTTGTTTACTTTTCGCTTCACAACATCCACCCAAAAAAGCGGATTAAAGGAGTGAGCTTAGCGGTGGGGCGGGCGACTCTTGAACCTATCTGAACTGTAGCAGATTGATTGCATTTATTTTTCCGCACCTTAACATTGCGTGCGAGAAGAAAACAATCACCAGGATTATCGGCTCACTCACTTCGTAGCACCCATTTTTTTTAATATCAAATTTGGCAGGGTAGTATTTGAGAAAAGCCTTCGGCTCTTTTCCAGTTTCCCACCCCCCTCGTAAAGTTTCAAAATAAAGCTGTTCAAAAATTGTTCACACGGCCTTTTGCATATAAGAAAGGTTGTGAAAAGTTGTTCACTTGTTCACGCTGACGCGTTTTAATGCATTTTAATGCATTTTAGGGCGCAGCCGTTTATGCACAATGTCTTCCCACAGACTGTTGGCTTGATTAAACCCTTGATATCAGACTATTTTGTTTCGAAAGAACTCAAAAGTTTACAAAAAAGACAGGAAATCAAATCATTAACTTTTCTGAGGGCTGTATGTTTTTGTCGGAAAAATTGGATGTTGCCGCTTATACAGGTGACCTCCATTTAACGTTTTTTTTTTGACGATTGAACCCTAAATTTAGATTTTGGGAAATTTGTATCGAAAAAACTCGAAAAACTTGGGCTCTTTTGCAATTCCCCCCTTTCAAGTTCAATTTTGGAAAACTTTTTTAACGTTGTCATAATGCAATGAAATTTGTTCACCACGCCAAATTTCATTGCATTATGACAACTGTGAATAGATTTGTTCTTCAAACGTCACAGCGTAACATCAAGCATTTAGCCGCAATGAAACGTAAAACAAACATACAACTCGGTATTTTGAAAGGGGGAACTGGAAAAGAGCCAAAATTTGAAAAAACGATCAAAAAATCAGAAACTTGACATCACCAAATACATAAATTGCGTAAAAAAGCCAGGCATAGCCACTTCCTAGATTAGGGAGAGTAGTTTTTGAGAAGAGCCAAAAGTGTGAAAAAAAAACAGCCAAAATTACATTTTGACCTTCCGAGGATCATTGTTTTTTGATGTAAACAATTTTGGGTCAAGCCGCTCATGCATGGAATTTTCCTTTTCTTTCTGCTTTTCTTTTTTTCCTTTTCCCCACCTCATACGAGCTTCAATTTTTCAGTCTAACGAGTGGTTTTTCGAGGTTGTTTATGAAGACCAAATATGTTTGTCGTGGCCCTTTTAGTCTTTAAGTCAATTTTCATAACAATCGGATAGGGTCGTCAACAAACTTACATGTAAAAATTTGCAGATGGGGTGAGGAAAAGAGCCTAATTTTTCACAACCCTTCACTTTGATGGAAATGAAAAACTCAGATTTCGAGGTAAGTCAAAAGTTTCAAACAACGGTGTAAAAGAAGAAACTGTTAGAAATGCAAAAAAAAAATCGAAAAAAGTCAAAAAATCAAAATATTAACTTTTCCGAGATTAATAATTTTTTGTTGAAAAAATGGGCTCCTTTTCCTTCCCCCCCCCACTTCACTCAAACCTGAATTTTATGGTCTGACGAGTGGTTTTGCAAGGTTAATTATGAAGACTAAATATGTTTGTCATGGCCTAATTAGTCTGCCTGTCAGTTTTCATGACAATCGGACAGTGTGAACAGTAACTTCCAATATAAAAATTTGCAGGTAGGGGAAGAGGAAAAAGAGCCAAAAATGTTTTTAGACGCTTATTCAGCGGACCTTGCCATAACGTGCTTTTCCGATTGAAAACAAAATCTTAAATTTGGGGGTGTATTTTGAGAAAACTAAAAGTTTTAAAAATATGGGTCAAAATTTCCACCCACACACTTTTTTGAAGGCTCTAGAAAATGAAGGTATAAACAGACTAAGGTGAAAAAATAAGACAAAGGAAAGTGAAGTAAAGTAAAAAGAGACAATTGAATTATGCAGGCACACAGGGGAGTGGGCGGTATTTGCATTGATACCACTTTGTTGAAAACTTTTGGAGTCGTTTTTGAGAACAACTAAAATGTTTGAAAAAAAAACAAAACATTTTTTCGAAGCAACTCAAAAAAATTAGAAAATCCAATCCCTAACATTTTCATTAAACCTGTTTTTTTCCGACAAGAATAAAAAAATATGAAAAATTCGAATTTATGCTAGGGCGTAGCCGCTCAGGCAGTGAAGGTTGGTACCATAGAGTTTTTGTATTCACAATTTGCGTCAGGTTTGGCAGGGTTGTTTTCGAGAAAAGAAGAAAGGATTGGAAAAATTGCAAAAAGAATCCAAAAGTTCACATTATTGACTTTTCTACCGCAATTACTTTTTTCTAATAATTCTTTTATTTCTTTTGTTTTTATAGGAAAGATCTGGAAAACGCTGGTTCACAGGAATATGGCCAATTTTTCCATTGGCCACATTTGAAACCCTATTCGATTGTCGTGCAAGGGTTGTCGATCTTGCAAGATTATTGCAAATGAGGGTTATCTTGCAAGATCTTACAAGATCTTGCAAGAGTGAGGTTATCTTGCAAGATCTTGCAAGAATGAAGTTAACTTGCAAGATCTTGCAAGATAGCCAACTATGAAATTTTCACGAAACCTTATTCTGAGCACCAGAAAAAAATACGGAGTTCCAATTTGATAAAGGTCACAAAAAATTCTGAGTTTAATCTCGTAAAAAAGATTAGGTTTAACAACTTTTAAAAATGTTTAAATATAATTTGATTATTCATTTTTCTTAGAGTAAATAGTTTCAGATTGTCGTTATAATTTGTTCGTTTCAAATTTAAAGTTTCAAAATTATATTTACTTGACTTTATTCGAATTTATGATCTAGTTTTTTAACTCTAGCGGTTAAAATTCAATTTTTTTTTGTCATAAGTTTGATGAATAGAGTCAATTGGCTTGAGATGTTTTGTATGATGTGTTCACATAAATCCGATAAATAATTATGTTCTTAATTTTATGAAGTTATGTTTGCTTTTTAAAGTTGATTTGTTCATTTATTTAAAATTTTTCTTCTTGCTACTGGTGAAGTGTATACTGGTAAAAAAAATGTACACTAGTCTTTTTGGTGTAAAATTTTTTTTTAAAGATATTGCTAGAATTAAGGTTATCTTTAAAGGAGGCTGTTTTGCATCACCTATTTAGATTTAGAAAAAAAGTTTTATAGCGTCTTTGAAGTCGCTTTTTTGCAGCTTTACAGCTTATAAAACATCGAATGGAATCAGAAAATTGGCAATTTTGCGTGTAAATGAAACCATAGATGTGGAGTTGTTATGGGGATTGAAACTATACCCTCTTTTCCATCTTTACCCTCACATTTGAATTTCCCCACATTTATTTTATAAACTATTTTAACATGGTCATAACTCATGAAATTTGGCAGGGTGAAACAAACTAACAATTAGTGTGAACCGATTTTGTAGTCATTCTTCACATCGTAAAATCACGCATATAGCCGTTATAGCACGTAAAACAACATTGAAATTGGATAAGAGCCCGTGTTACATGAAGTATACCTGTCAGCAGCATCCATTGAATCCTCGATGCCGCTAGAGGGCGACGGGGGCTGTCCTTCCGCCCCTGACTCACCCGTAGTCTCCTTCGCATCAGCAAAGAAGTTGGAGGCAATCGATTCTTTAGTCGGGTATGCTCCCATTTCTGCTTTGTGAAAATGTATTAGTCCTTAAGTTTCTTGAAGTTTTTTTCGGTTAGTTGTTTTTATATATTGAACTACGCTTTTTTGAAGTAGAAGCTAGGTTCAGTTTTTTTCAGTATTTTTCGAAGTCAACTTGTTAGGTGTCAAAGAGTCAGTCAAGTGAAAGTAACCAATTGAGCACGTGATACTTAAGGCAGCCCAAAAAATGTCTTCCTTATCGTCAAGTCAAAATCAGACGCCACTTCATTTTTCCCCAAGTTTTGATTTTCACTTTTGCTCTTTTTCCTTTCCCCCCACCTGCAAATTTTTATATTTTAAATTACTGTTCACCTTGTCCAATTGTTATGACAATTGACATGCAGACTCATTAGGTGTCCTCATTAACATATTTGGTCTTCATAATTAACCTTGTAAAACTACTCGTTAGAACATAAAGTTCATGTTGGTGTGAGGTGGGGGGGGGGGGGGGGGGGGGGGGGAGGAAAAAATGCCTTCAATTTTCCTAGCTGGTTTATGAGTTGTTATCAATAAGTGATTTCACAATGAAAGTATGAAAAATAAATTCGGGCTCTATTCCATTTTCACCCTTTTTTGAAGTTTTACGTGTCTTTCTGGCTATTCCCGACAAGGATAAACGGTTGTTGAAAAATTGGGTCAATTTATGAATTCAACTCATTTCGTACAAATTTTTGGTTCAATTTTCAGCAAAAATCTTTAGAAAACTAAGAAAAGTCTTTTCACCATCTAAAACTATTTGAATAAAAACTGAAACTAGACCTAAACTAGTTTAAGTTTAAGTAACGATAGTTAAAAGATTTTTTTGTTTTAGAATTTTTTGTTTCTGAAAAATGACCCAAAATTTGTACACGAAGTGACTAAATTTTAACCAATCTAATCATGAACAGTTTGAGTTAGCTAGCGCTAGCATCTTCCTTTCCTAAATGTTTGCTATAACGTTTGCGAGTTTTACTGTCGGTCGGGTGGCCACGCCTATTGATACTCGTACAACAGCGGATCGCGCAACGTCAACCTTGCTGAAATCCAAAATTATAATTCTGGTCAATGTGTAATGACCACGGGGACTGACATCATCTATTATCAACACAACATCGCCAACTTCTGATGGATTGTGCAATTTTTTTACGTTTATTCAATGTTGGCACATATTTTCTGAGCCAACAGGTCCAAACTGCTTTTGCATACGAATGAGCACGTGCGTATCGCTTACGGTAACCAAAATCTCATCAAATCGTAACAGCTCAGGTAACGCAGCCTTTTCTTAACAACAAATAACGGTTCGGCGTCAGCGTTCCGAAATCGTTAGCGTCTGAGCTTACAGTTTTAACGGAGGAGCATTAAGCGATAGCTCTACAGTGCAAAACGTGCTTTGGAAGATCGTGTCTTTAGTTATCTCAAGCCTAAAACTGAGTAAAAAATATGGAATATTGGTTGGAATAAACTTCCAAGTTATTCCTTCACGAACGAGTAGCGCCGTAGCAGGCTAATTCCAGTTCTAGATTCCCAAAAGATGGTCCTTTGCCGAGCCTACAAAATAATTTCCGTTATCAGAGCAGATAACAGTGCGCGTTCGGCATCAAGCATTGCACAGGTCAATCCTCATGACGCAGGAATTTGTGTCCATAGACGAAATGATTTATACATCCAATTCTACATCGGAGATCACCACGAAATCTCAAGAGAGCGTACTCAATTTGTATAACTGCCCGAAGACGATCAACTCACTGATGGTGATGCATTTGAAAAAGGAAGACGAGAAAATTGGATGCTTGGACTCGAAGTCGACGGCAGTGAGCAGGCTGAAACGGCCTGTGGAACACACGATACCCTTCCAACCAATAAATGGCGAGAAAGAAGTTATTCAGCTAGACTTCTGACGGGCTGATCGCTACTTAGAGATTTACTGTCGCTTGGAAACGACTCTGACTGAGCTAAGTGAAACAGTTTTTCCTAGCAATTTCAAGCTTGTGTGGATCGCTTAACAAACTATCCACTCTGAAGTTTCGATGACGTGCTAACAAACTCATAAAGGAATGTTCATCTAGGTACAATTAATGAATTGCGATCGACCTTAAATGGGACCATGTCACCGATACGTCGGTGCTGCGAAGAAGTTATAATCGCAAACTCAACATCTTTGCAACTCGCTTTTTGTCGGTCTCAATCTTTTGCGAAACACTTTTTTGTCTTGATGCACTTCCGAGAATATAAATACGGAGGATCCGCCGACATCGAAGATTTGTTTTACAGGTCGCATAGCTAAATTGACATCTGAATCAAACTGGACCAGGACACAAATACCTTTTGGATGAGCAGAGGAGTTAACATCAAGTTCAAAGTCTCTGTTAACATTTTTTGTTGTTGTCAATCTGCTTCAAAATCTGTTAAATATCTCTTAATACGCTTCCGAGAGCTCAACCTCGCAGTATTCTCTGCCAAAGCAGGATTGTTTTTGCAGGACAGATTACTAAACTGCAATCAGTCGCAAACGGAACCAGGTCACCAATACGCTTATGGTGAGCAGGGGAGTTAATCTGATTTTGAAGTCTCTGTTAACCCCTTCTCGTCGGTCCCAATTCGCTGCAGAGCCTGTTACTTTTCTTAATGCGCTTCCAAGGGCACATATACACAGCATCCGCCGACATCGAAGAATTGTTTTTGCAGGTCGGTCATTATACTGCAATTGGTATCAATTAGATCACGTCACCGATACGCTGGTTGCAGGCAGAACAGTTAATTTCGAATTCAATGTCTCTGTTAACCCTTTGTTGTCGATCGCGATCTTTTGCGAAACAGTTTTTTGTCCTAATGTGCTTCCGCAGCTCAATAAAGCAATATCTGCGGACATCGAAGAAATGTTTATGCAATTCGGGTTACTAAATTGCGATCAGTCTCATTTGGGACCGTGTCATTGATACGTTCGTCGCTCGTCGCGAAATCAAGACGTTTGTTACTTTGTTCTTGTCGATCCCAACTTTTTGCAAAACCCGATACTTGTTCTGTTGCACCTCCGAGAGCTCGAATTCGCAATATTCTCAGACATCGAAGGAATGTTCTATCTGGATATAGTTACTAATTTGCAATTAGTCTCAAATGAGACGAGGTCACCGATATGTTGGTTGTGAGCAGAGGAGTTAAATCAAATGCAAACTCAAAGTCTCTGTTGCTACCTTGTTGTCGTACACTATCTTCAGCAAAGCCTATTATTTGCCTTAAGGCGCATTTGAGACCTATGAAGCGAAATATACGCAGACATCGACGGATTGTTTATCCAGTTATGGTTATTAGATTGCTATTGGTCTCAATTGGGACCTAGTCACCGATAGGTTGATTTTAAGGAAAGGAGTTAAGACAAATTCAAAATCTACGTGACTATTGCCTTGTCGGTCTCGAACTTTTGGAAAACAAATTTTTGGTCTTGATTTGCATCCGAAAAAAATACGCAGTATCCGCCGACATCGAAGGATTGTTTTTGCAGATCGGATAAATTAACTGCTATAGGTATCAAACTTCTATTTGGATACGCTGATGGTGAGCGGAGGATTTCATATAAAATTCAATGTCTCTGCGAACCCCCTCTGTTGGTCCCAACTTGCTGCACAACATTTAATTTGTCTTAATACGCTTCCCAAAATTACAAATAGACAAAATCCGCCGAAGTCGAAGGAGGTTTTTGCAGGTCAACTTAGAATTTCTTGATCCACTTTTGTTTTATTTTTCACGGCAAGTCGACTACAGATAAGATATCAATGAGATTCCTATTACCAGGCATAAGTTCAGGGCAAGCATTATCCGACTAGCTCAAATTACGCTCGCTGTCAAACAGGCATCGATCAATTCTGTTTATGCCGCGCTAATTAAATTTAACATGGATATTAATCATGGGTTCATTAAAAATCCAGAAACAACACTAAAACCTGCTGAAGCTAGTGTCAGAAACACTAAAGTAACCCATACCTCACCGAACACTCCGAAAACCGCTTTGCAAGTTATCCTTATTCGATCGAAGCACGTCACTGTTCGTTGGTCGTAAGCAGAGAGTCTGTCGCGAACTCTAAATTTGTGTTACACAGCAATCAGTGCAAAGTTTTTTTGTCGTCCGAGCACGCTGAATTTTTGAGTTTATCTGACAGTTAATTGATATGCAGTGGGGCGAACCATTGACAAACGAGTTTTACCACAGATTCATTTAATGGTTCTCAAGATTGTCTTATGTTAACATTAACATACAAGCCCTAATCACTATTTTGAATTTTCAGTGGATGAGATTGAACTACTCATGCTCGGTGACAGCTCATTGGATGTTTACTGATATATTAATTACCTTCGCGACTGGAAAAACCTCACTGATAGCTGTGTACTTGCAATTTGCGCTCGTCTTCACCAAAGCAAGAATAGCCCCCCTGAAAATTTTTCGATATTACGTTGGGAAGTTCAAGCTGCGCTTCTTGCTATTCATCTGAAGAGTGATATCAAGAAATTTCTGATAATGAGCGTTATCGTCGTTTATGTGTGGAAGATCAGCACTGCTGTCCTCCAGCGATAAAACTTGACAAGCAAACATCTCGTGTTTTTTCCAATCGGCAAGACCAACATATCGAGATTGAAAAAAATATATAAAAGTCTGGTGCAAAAAGTTTGGTCGGGTCAACAGCCAACATTTCTAGAAAAATTTAACTCCGTTTTTGGATAAATTCGCTAGTTAGACCGCAGGTTGAGCCAATTTTGCGTTTTTTTGGGGGAAACATAGCTCATTTTCTAAGATGAGCCACGTGGTCGCATACAAGTTGAGTCTCTGACCGAGACAGTGTCATTTCATAACTTTGGATAAGGCTAAAATGGAACCATTGAAACTTGTTATCGAAGCATAAAAAGTTCTGCAGATCCCTCAGTTATAGTAATTACCAGTTGAGTGAAAACAATTGGCTGCTAATAACCATTTTAAAATCCAGCCGTATACTGTGATACTTGCTTTGTATCTA